CTTTGTTTTGTTATTTTTATTTTTTGTTTTATTATTGTTTATTTTATGGGGTTTGCTTTATTTGTTTATTTTACTGGTTTCATTCTATTTTTCATTATTGTCTTTTGTTTTATTATTTTTATTTTTTAGTTTATTATTATTTATTTTATTGGTTTTTGTTTTGTTTTACTCATTTATTTTTAGCTTATTATTTTATTTTTATTTTATTTTTTATTCTGCTTTGTTTTGTTATTTTTATTTTTTTGTTTTATTATTGTTTATTTCATGGGTTTTGCTTTATTCATTTATTTTACTGGTTTTATTTTTCATTATTGTGTTTTGTTTTATTATTTTATAATTATTACTTTGTTTTATTTGTTTTTCTGTGAACACATTTCTTCACTGAGTACTAAACCAATCAACCAATGCTAAACCTACATTAAACCAGTAGCATCCTGCAACATGCTAAGCCACGGTTTGTAAACCATGGTGGCTGTAATCCCCCAGCATTCCAAGTCACAGACCGGCACACAGGAGTTTGGTAATGCGTAGCCACCAGGACTCTGTTTTCAGCTGCAACAGCCTCCTGCAGCCCTCTGCTGGCGAAAACGGAACTCAGGGAATGCCACACGCGGGATGCCCGGGCTCCATTTTTGGTCACAATGGCCCCCTGCAGCCGTCTGCCAGAGAAAACGCAGCCCGAGGAGGCCGCGTGCGGCTCACTTGGGCTCCATTTTTGGCCGCTGCAGCCCTCTGTCAGAGCTCCATTTGGCTGCAGGAGGCCGTCGCAGCCAAAAATGGAGCCTCGACAAGTGACGTCAAGCTGGCCCAGTCCCCCGAGGTGAAATCCAACCCTGATGCGGCCCTCAATGAAATGGGGTTTGACATCCCTGGTTCGAGGGCATCTTTTCCTTCAACTTCCTAACCACCTTTTCTGCTGCTGTTTTCTAGGTCGAGTCCCGGACGCTGGTCATGTTTCGTGGGCTGACTCAACAGGTGCAGCTTTCCTATTTGACCCTCATGTCCCAGCTCCGGGGTCTGCCCACCAGCATCCAAGACAAAGCCAAGTGGATCTTGTGCACGTTGGAGTACCTCAGCATATCCTTCAGGACCGCCGGTTCCTTCCAAGAGGTGCCCTCCGCCACGTTGGCTGAGAGCTGCCAACGGATCGTCAAAGCCCGGGGTTCGGTGGACGAGATCGTGGACTATGTGGTGCAGAATGTTCCCCTGCCTTGGGTGGTGGGGCCTTTCGCCCCCAGCTTGGTGGAACTGCCTTACGCCTCCGGCATGGAGGGGAACGAGGAAGGAGAAGACCCCACATCCAAATTCGCTGCGGGGCCCAACATGAGAGCAGAGGGAGACGAAAATTTGGAGAGTTGCAGGAGATGTCTTTTGAAAATGGCTCCTTCCAACACTTAGAACAGCTGAAAAACTAAAAAAATATATAGAATTTTATCAGGGATGTGGATTTCAGAAAGCTTGCCTTGTCTACTCTCAAGTTGTGCCTTCAGAAGAAATTTTCTCCCCCTCGGGCCCTTTCAGATACAGGCAGTCCTCGACATACGACCGCAGTGGGTCCCAGAATTTTATGTGGCTAAGTGAGAAATCCGTTCGAGTTTATTGCTTTTCTCGCCACATTTTGTCAAGGAGAAAGCAGGGCAGTTGTTAAATTAGTAAAACGGTCGTTAAGTGAATCTTGTTGGAAGGTCGCCAAAAGGGGATCATGTGACACCCCCCGGGAACACTGCAACGGTCATAAATATGAACCGGTTGCCAGGCATCTGAATTTTGGCCATGTGACCACGGGGATGTTGCTGCGGTCGTAAGTGTGAAAATGGTTATAACTCGCTGTTGTGCTGTTGTCGAACAGTCACTCCATGAAACGTTGTAAGTCGAAGGCTACCTGTAGATGGACTTCAACTCCCAGAAACCCCCCAGCCCGCCGGCAATTCTGGGAGTTGAAGTCCATCCATTTGAAAGAGGCCGAGGTTAACAAACGCCACAGGCTTAGATTACCGTACCAGTGGGAGAATCGGAATAGCCAAGATGGTGCTATTCCGACTTCCTTAACAAGGAAGAAGCAGAGTCTTGGTCCCGGCAAAACCCCTTTTATTTACACAACTGGATTCCTTTCACTCACAGTCAGCAAGGCTTAGCAAACAGTCTTTCCGAGGAATGTTCATCAACACGAACCTTATCTCGCTTGGAGAGCTGCCAGATAACTAGCTTCCAAATGCAGGGCAAGGCGAAATTTGGCAAAGAGTCTCTTATAGTCACAAACAGAACTTTCCACTCTTGAAAC